AATCTATTTTTCTGTGACCTATAAAGAAGAAAAAGATACTTAACACCTCTTCAACAGCATGAATCAATGTCAGATAAAATTAGAAAAGCAGAAGCTGCAAGGAAGAGGAAACAAATATTTAAGTCTAAAAATAGGTGGGGTTACTGAACAGAGACTGTGGTACTCAATTTATTTTAAGAATACACTTTCAAAAACCACAAAAACACAAATACAAGATTGGGTTGAACTGGAAATCAAGTTAAGCATTTCGGTGAATTTCTTCCCTTTCTTCAAATAATATCTAATAATTATTATGCCAACTTTACCACAATATAATCTAATTTCCTGAAAACAGCATTATAAACAGGGACAGTATTCTTTGCTGTAATTTTCTGATAAGTCTATGAACTAGGTTGAATATAAAAATTATAAGAAAAAACATATGGATTAAAAAATACTTGATAAAAGTGTATAATTTGGTTAGTTTCTGCCAGCCAAAACCCCCGCAAAATGATTATACCTAACAGCTATTTTGTAATTTATTTGTAAGGGGAAAAAACAATCCCCAAAGAGTCATTAGATATCTTACTACACAGTGTAATTACTGAAATCTGTGAAAATCAATTGAATAGTAATGACAGATCCATTTCATATAAAGTACAAAAAGGAAAAGTTACGGAAAAAAGCTTTTTATTTTTTTGCTTATTGCAGATGTATTGAACCTCCAGTACTTGAGTCAGCAGTTTCAAGAGAACACAAGAAAATAGAAGAAATATAGCCTTTCTTTTTTCTTGGTTCTGGTATTTGCAATATTTCAATTTTTTAAAAGTCAGTAATATTTTTAGGGATCCGCACAGCAAAATGAGGAAAACCTTATGAATTATAATGTTTATGGATGTAGCTTAGAATAATAGCAGCAAAGCTGTTGGATATACAGTTTTGAAATAGTACATTTCAGTTTGTGGTCCCATAGCTGAAATGGCAAATAGTAGAATCAGTCAATAATTTTATTCTCTCTTGTTTTCTTGGGGATATTTTGCATACTAGCTCCATTACTTTAATGTAATGTAATTTGCTGTGGTTCAAATGATTAATTACTATTACTGTAAGTTGTGCTAGATCAAGCTAATGAACATTCAGCACAATTTCCTGTCACTTCTCATCCCAGCTCAGTCCCCTCATTCCCACATATAACACACTCCCAGTAAAAATAAAAGCACACAGAATAGAACCTTAGGTCTGGCTATGTTTGTTTATGATCACATTAAAATTTTGCTACACCCTTGCAAGTAACACGTGCTCAAAAGCATTTACATATACTTAAAACAACTTGTTATTCTGAAATATTTATACATGTACATTTTCCATAATAAATCTTTACTGTGGCAATGACGAGGTATTCTTCTGTTTACCTGTTCATGCAAAATTTGTATTATTTAGTAAAGGACAGATCAACATCTTGAATAAACCGTAATTCTAAATGAAGAAAATGTTTAAAAACCATTAATATCATTTTAAAAGGTATTTGAGTCTTCTCTTTTGGCCTCTGTTTAGCTGTGCTAGGCCTGTGAATGACAGCTTCCCTGCTTGAAGCATACAGAAAGCACAGCCTTCTTCATTCACTGTCAGTACTATGGCCTTTTCACACGTTCCCTCCACAGCAGTGTTTGTCCCCAAACACTGGAACCCAGCACAATGGCATTCCTACTTCAACACCCCCACCAACAGCACCACTACATATGAAGAATGCTAATGAGATGGACATCCCCCATCTCTGGAAGTGTTAACTATATCCCATACCATCAGATGTAATGTTATTTCTATTGTTATGTATTACATCTCACTTAAAAGCAATTCCATTTTGGCAATGCTTTTTTTCTAAAAGCATTTTAATAGAAACTATAGCGGCTTGACAAAAAGATTGAAAAATGTCTTACATGCATTCACCCAATTGCATACATTATATATACAATGAACTGATTTTAACCTCCAGATATATTTGGGAATCTCAGAAGTCCCAACAGACACCAGCCCAGCATGTTTAAAATCGCAAGGCAAAAGGCTAACATCGGAAACATTAACAGCAGAATAATTCTAACAGTACTGTTGTTTAAATTTTACAATTTTTGTTACAAAACTGTCCCAGAATTCATGGCGTTAAAATAGGAATATAAGCTTTGTCAAGATTTTAGAGAAGATTTTTTGTCAAGATTATAGCTCATTATACAGATACATAATTGCAATTAGAAAGAGTTTAAAGGTAAAAAAAAAAAAAAAAAAAAAAAGCTTTTGTAGTACAGCGTTTATAGATACATATTTTCTTCCTTTCCCCTTTATTTAGAGAAAAGTACAAACCACTTCCCAAAGTTCAAGTACTCTCTCAGTTTTACCTGGTTTACTTCACCTATATTATTCTCAAGGAATGCTATTTGGAGAATACTGATTATCTTCTTCAAAAGGATACAAAGACATGGTAGCTCCTCACTGTTCTCTTCCTCTGGGGCAAGAAGCAACAAAGTGATTATAAAGGCGACACTGTGCAACCAGTGCACAGTGTGGACCAGAAACTATGTGTTGTTTTAACTCAATACATGCCTTTTAAATTGAAGTCCAGATGGATTTTAGTAAAAGTACATGTATTAGCATATTATTATAGAAGTACATGTATTAGCATATTATTAGTTGTATGTGCTATTTGATTTCAACGGACAGACTACAGTGTCTTAGCAGAGTAATAGTGAATCAAAGAACTTCCCTTCTTTTATTTCCATTCCCTTTTTATTTAAATGAAAAGACAAAGTAAATCCAAATAATTCAAATGTCAAAATAACACTGACATAAATAGAAATCAAGAAAATATATTTAATGTTGTCAAGTAACGGCTAGATGTTATACTGGTAGGAATACTGTGTGCAGTCATCACAGCACTATGCTGTCAGGCCTTGGCACAACAGGGCAAAGTGGTGGTATTTTGATTGAATGTCCTGGTTCTTTATTAATGTGCATCCTAATCTGTATCATATCACAATGTGCTCTTTACAAAACAAACTTGTTTCAGTTATTTAGAAAAAAAAGGCCAACACAAGCAAAATACAGTAAGATTATAGCAAGAGGTATTGTTATACCTACAGCATAACATAACCTACAGTTATTACAATTATTGCATTTAAGTTCAGTACTAACACAATGTCAGTTAGAAAACAGTTGGAAAAATCAGGAGAGAATTACTTTAAGTTGAATTATATGTCAGATCTTATCTTTGAAGTAATATAATTCAAAATAACACAAGCTTTCAGCACAGTAACTGCACAATACATTTAATTTCCTTGTGCTGTGAAATATTCATTTAAGCACTTAAACCAGTTTGAAATGTTTATTAAAATATTTTAATCGTAAGTTTTGTGTAGACAATTAACTGTCATAGCTGTACCGACATTTATCCTTGTAATCTGGACTCTTAAAAATGTCCAACGTGGTTATACTGAGCATACGTCTATATGCAAGGCTTTCATTTGCCATTTGTCTTCAGAAGAGATTTCAAATCTATTAAAATTATTGTATTTTTCTTGTCATTTACAATTTCCAACTGAACACTGCTGGATAATCACCACAGGAATGATTAACATAAGTTAATTTACTCAAATGTCTTTATATCTTCTTTACAGAGAAGAGCAAAAAGTAGTCAATAAATGACTTGCATATGAATTTTTATTTAGAAACCCTATTGTCTGTTTTGTTCTACTAATTACCATTATACTTGCTAAATACTTGTATGCATTTTCTATTTTTTTTTTCTAAATGAGTAAATACTATATGTTAAAGCACTGGAAAGTAATAGATTTCATTTCTGTAGCTTTTGTGACAGGCAGCATTGTCTTAGATGCGAAGAACTATCAGGAAAATGTGTAAAGATATTTCTCACTTTTTAATACATCACTATACTGACTCAGAAACATTCTGAAACAAGCTTTGCTTTTTTTGTTTTCTGCTTGTTTCTCTCCCTCACACATAGTCTCTTGGTTTTGGGTTTGTTTTTGTTTGATTTCTTCTTGCTGACCACTATTAGCTCTAGACAGGAATAGTCTCTTCCAAAGTCAATTCTCATTTCTCTTTATGGATCTGACAGCAGGAGGTGCTGTATAAACAGTGTGAGTGACACTTTCCTTGTGCTTCTCCTCCCCCTTCCTCCATAGACTGGTAGCTTATCTATCTGATGCAGTCATTCTTAACTCTGGGGCCCGAGATCATTTTTAAATCTGAGGTTCCTAGCTGGTTGTTTAATTTCTATATAATACTTCTCCTGGAAAATCTGCGAGTCTACTATTTTTATAAAGAGCTCACCTAATCCTTAAAAATATGTACATTCTTATACATATAACGAACTTATGTAACTATGCTGAACAAGATTGGTGTTTTCTTGATCATATTTCCCAAAATAAAACACCCAATTAATAAAAAATAAATCATCTTATTGCTCCCAAACTATCAAACAGTATATTCAGTACCTGTTTTCTAGTATATTTATTTAATGGCACACGTATAGTAATTAAAGTATTGAGGTTTTAAAATATTATACATTTATTTTATTATTCATAATGCAACACCAGTTATACTTAGAAATGTTTTATTTATTTATTCAAAAAATATTTCAACTAAATAATTATTTAAATTAGTTTTATGGGAAGATCTATGAGACTATTAAAAGCTGCATGTGCGGAACAAGCGATGAAAAATGACTGCTTTAGAGAATTTCCACATAAGGAATGTCACAGCTAGGCACAGTGTGCAGCAAGAAAAGATGAGACATATGACATCCCACACCAAAAGAGAGACACAATTAACTCCTCTATTGTTGGCTTCGCAATTATAGGAGAAGCATTTCATTTTCCTAACAGGCACTGCAGCTTATGCAATATATGTCACACTTCTTTGTGACACAGTGCCAATCATTGATTATATACAATTAGCACATTTGAAAATGAAAACAAAAAAGCAGACTTTTAAAGAGTGGGACAACTCACCTGTTTGCAACAGTTTGCAGACTTTAATCGTGGTGCAGGGCCAATAGAGCTCCTGGGATACAAATCTTTGCTGCTGAGAGGCTGAAACCTTCTCTCTTAAAGACCCAAACAGGTCCACACAAAGGTGTGATGGAATTTTGCAGGCATCTGTCAAGCGGAGGAGCTAAGCAAAGAAAAGAAGCAAAGGAAAAAAAAAGCAAACGCATTCTTTTGACCCAACTGAAATACACAGCTTCTAACACAGCCTCAGCATCAGAACTAACTCTTAATATCTATTATTTATATCTGACCTGGGTTAAGTCTTGGAAAAGCAACTCCTGCATTTCTAGTGGCCACCATGAAGGACGTATTTATATTGAGACACCCCCCATGAAAGACTCATAAGCTCCGTGAGCACACCTGAATAGTTCTGAAGTGTGCCTAACTAGCTGCACGGAGTGTCATGGTGTGCACTGATTGCCTTATCTTCTCATTTATCACAGATGAGTTGGAACCAACCTTGCTGAAATCTACTTGCATTGTCCGGATAAAATTGCAAGATCCATGTTGTTTCTGTATACAGCTTCCTGTTGAGGAGCTGACATACACCTACCACATTATAAATGGTAACTTTCATAAAATAGAATCCACGCTCTCATAAGCCATTTTACTACAACCTTCTCATTGCCACTACTCCCAAAACAACTTCTAACAAATAAAAATGCTCAGTGCAGCTGTTTAATAACAAGGAAAGGTCAAATGAAACGATAGGTAAAATTGATTCATGGCAATGGTCTCAACAAGATCTTTTTCTGCTGTTCTTAGATTTCAAATCGCTGTAAAGGTTGAAAGCATTCTTTCGAAGGGACCCAATGTCAATATGTGTGACAAATAAGGGATGATTATTTTGGCTTCAGGCATTACTGAAATGCGTGTGCTTTGCAGACATTTTTGTGTAACGCATACATGGGCCTGCCTCCTATGACAAAACAAAATAGCATTAAGTAGCGTTTCAGGCTTTTAGGTGATGGAGGGGAAGGGAAGGGAAGGGAAGGGAAGGGAAGGGAAGGGAAGGGAAGGGAAGGGAAGGGAAGAGAA